ATCCATGACTTTGACATAGTAACTTAATACTGCTTCTAATAGTTTCAAATTATGTAGACCTCGCTGCATCTTCAAAAGAACTCTCTACTATTCTTATTAAATTTCTGCACTTCAAGTACTCTTGATAACACATACCATTCTGCTGCTTGTTGATTATGCAAATTTACCTTGTCATGAGTAAGATTAATATGAAGTTTGTATAACCTAATAACATATATGTGTGTGTGTGTATGTATATATCAATATATATCAATAAAAGCAATATAACCATGTGTATACTCTTCACACATAAATTTTATTTAACCCCATTAGCATTGCTTAGAATTGACTGTGTACATATTTTCTTGTCCTAGTTCCTTTTTCTTTTACTTTTGTTATTTCCAGACCCAGTAGCGCAGGCACCTTGAACTTGCTTTGTACCCAGTGCTGGCCTTGAACTGTTGGTCCTGCCTCTACTTCCCAAGTTCTGGGATTACAGGCCTGGCCTCCTCTTGTCCTTTCTCCAAAGGCATGTCCCCTATTTGTCTTTTCTCACAAACCGTGACAAGTCATTTTCAGGTATATCCTGTATGAGTAATAACTGAATATCAATTTGTAAGCTGACCTTTAAATACCTATTTTGCACACAGCACATACTATATTTTTTATCTTAACCTCCATTTATGTTTTGGTCTTTGTGTAGAAATATGTATCAGTGATTTCAACATTTGAGGACAAGTTTACCTTTGTGGAAACTTATCCAATAAGGTTTAAGCACATTAAGACTTCCTTAAAAACAAAACAAAACAAACAAAAACCATGCCTTTCTACTGCAAACTGTTTTCATCTGATTCCACAGGTTAATAATTCTGATTTTAAAAGATCTTACCTTGGAGCTTTAGCAGTGGTAAATGCCTATAATCTTAATATTTGAGAGAAAAGCTTGAGTTGTAACATCCTCACAAAAAAACCAAACTGAAGTTTTGTCTTTCCTATAGTGCTACAAGAAACTGGTATTAGCTATACATGCATGCTTTTATTAACTATCACAGAAATGTGGGAAAGAACATTAATTATGAAGCAGCTAAGCTTAGCAAATTACTGAATTTTAAAACTGCCTTCTAAATGGAAGTTAAAAGTCAGCTGAAAAATAGAGTCTACATAAAACCTATTGATTTTCCTCTGGGAATTCATTTGATTTCAAGTGAAAAAAAAAAAAAAAAAACTATTCTAAAACAAACAATACAAATTTAGGTGCTCGTAGAAACTGCAACAATAGTTCAAGAAATATTTTGTTACTAGAGGATAAGGAGGTTAAGGTTTTTAACAGATACATACCCTAACTCTTTAAAACAAAGAGACTAAAAAAAACCCAAACTAGATACAAACAGCTTTCTCAGGTGATTGTCAGGTACAAGACAACACAGCAACATCTGTAAAGAATCAAAACAGAACACGGTTCTCTGCATAAACACTTCCACACACATTCTTCTTCACCACGTGTGACTTTGTGGTCCACATTTCAAGTGCAAAACACAAGCAGACTTTCATGAAGATGCTGCCACAGTGTAGAATCAGTGGCACCTCTGACTAAGTGCCTCAACAGCTGACAGTCAGAGGTACTTTACCCTTACCTCTGTAATGGTAATAGAGGCTGCAGACTCTGCAACTGTTAAATGCACACTCAACTGGAAGGGACATTTATCTCCTTGTAAGAAGATCTCCACTTTGAAACTTTAACCCATCTCAAATTTCCTAGGAGTTCTAATCACAGTACTGCAGGGAAAAATAATACCTAGCATTCCTGAACTACTTCCGACCTCTGTGTAGATACAATGTTTCACATGAGTGCTCCTAAGTTCCCAGGATGCAGAGGCAAAGGCACATTATTTCATCTAGATTTTACTAGTTGCTGAAATCCATTCTTTCCTGATGGATGATAGATTTTAAACTACCTAGAGATCCCAAGGCACCAGCAGAGGAATATAGCTTTTATTTAACCCAAGATGACATTCTAAGATTTGGGGGTGAGTCATCATAGCCTTAATCAAGGTTGAAATTCTTAGTGAAAACCACATAGAAAGTGCCCTTCCCTCCATTATTTCTCTGTCCCTATGAATCTGTTAAAGCGTGAAAAGTATCTTCAGAGAACAGTGCCATAGCAGTTCTATTCTTTTTTAAGCGAGTCTCCAAAATACTTGTCACCTAAAACCTTGTAGACTCTACAGTGTACAAGATATGGTGAAATGAGGTTAGGATCTCTGGATTTGTTTGGAGGGGAAACAAGACAAAAGGCAGAATCAAATAATATAAAAGTATAACATGATTGACAACACACTTATAGGGGTAGCAACACAGAAACAAAGATGTGTTCTAATAAAAATACAAAATCAAATGGTGAGAACTAAGATATTTGAAAGAAACCACAACAGGCATCCAAGAAAAATAATCACTTGGGCTGGGAAATTATAAGCAATGGGCTCCTTCCTCTCTGAACATGGGCATGAGAAAGAAGTCTACCATAGAAGGTGTCAAAAGGAAAATTAGAGTACTGTATCCACAACACAATTCTGTTTCAAAGAACACACACATGTTCTTAGGGAAAGAATCTGGAAACAGATTTGCAAATTAAAGTGACCTCCTCTGGTATAACAGCTAAGCTAGTAGTCACTTCACATATACTCTGTTGTTTAAAACTCTCAATAGTATATATTCCTTTTATTAACGATGACTATGAGGATAAGATTTAGAATGTAGTTAGGAAATAAATTGGTCTAGCAAAGTGATAGAAATGGATTCTTTCTTAAGACCGATGATCTTACCAGCACCATGAGTTTGGGTAGGTTTCTAGTACTAGGCATGATTTCCCTCTTATTCAGGAAGCCCTAAGTCCAATAAGTGGAACTGTTGGTTACCAATGACAAATATCTTAAAATTCTGTCAACATCTTACCGTGTTGTCTAGAGTAGCCAGCATACCACAATAGGTCAGTGCCTCACTCAGTCATCATCAGAGAAGCTTCCTCTTGCAGTAGGTGACCCATAACTGTAGTCATGCAGTGTGAGATATTTGGAACACTTAGTCTAAACAGATTTTTTTTTTTTTTTTTTTTTTTTTTTTTTGGAAAATACAATCTTTCCTCATACAATACATCCTGACCAGTTTTGCCTCCCTGCAATCCTCAGTTCCCCCCTTCCTGTACTTCTCCTCTCCCCAGATCCACTCTCCTTCCATTTTCCTTCAGAAAAGAGCAGGCCTCTAAGAGACAACAGCCGTAAGATAAGGCAAAAGCTCTCATGCCGAGGCTGGACAGGGCAATTCAGTATGAGGAAGAGTCCCAAGAGCGGGCAAGAGCCAGAAACACACCCACTGCCACTACTAGGGTACCACAAACCACCAAGCTAACAGCTATACCATCTACAAGGTGGACAGGGTGCAGACCCTTGCAGGCCCCATGCTTGCTATGTCAGTCTCTGTGAGCTCACATGAGCCCTGCTTAGTTGATCATGTTCTGCCGGTGTCCTCCATCCCCTGACTCCTATATGCTTTCCACCCCATTGCTGAGGAGAGGAATCCCATGGAGACTGGCTTATGGGTCTCTGCACCAGTTCCCATCCGCTGCCATTGGAAACCTCTTCGATGGTGACAGGACAAGGCACTAATCTACAAGTATAGAAGACTATTATTAGGAATCATTTCCCTTTTTTTTCTTTTGCCAGTCATATTTGGTCTCTGGGTTATCCAATCTATGGTTCCTAGGCCAGGCAATGTTAGACATGGACTCCCTAAATGGGATTTCTTTCATTAAACCTCTCCTCTCAAGGTTCAGGTAACTATGCTGAAGAGGAGGTTGAAAACCTGTTAACTGCCAGGGCATGGAAGACCTAAGCATGATACTAGTTAGTCTTATCAATAAAAACCTGGAGTCCATAATCAAGGCAAAAGCTACAAGGTCAGAGAAGCAAAGTGGTAGCCCCAGTTACTGCTTACCTCTTCTCTAAATCCTCAGACCGGAAGGCCCAGATCCTGTCTCTTCCCTGTGTTACTTCTGTCTCCTCTCTGAACAGACCTCCAGATCTTTATGGTTAACTAGTGGCTAGCTCTGCTCTCTGATCTCCAGGCAATCTTAATCCGTCAGCAAACAAAGAAAATGTCATAACAGAGGACAGCAAGAAAACAAGATCTTGTAGACACTCAGGTCTGATACACACATAAACTCAAGAGACTGTGACAGCACATATAAGGCCTATATAGTTTCAAGCCAGGCAGAGTCCACTCCATAAATTGATAAACTCTGCTGAATAAAATTAAGACCATTTAATTGAATTAACAACTCAATATATGTAATATAGGACCATTTTATACAAGACGATTGAAAAGGTAATATAAACATGACCCACAAATATCATAAATTTTATTAGTTTATTAGTTGGTAAGAAATGGAATAACTTTAGTATTACAGAGAGAAGCAGGAAGTCAAATATACTATTTGTTTTAAAGAGATACATTTATCCTAAAATGAGTAACATCATCACCTAAACAAAACAATTCTGCCATGCCTACTTAAAGCAATTATTCCTTTTAGTATAAGGAGACTCACTCAGACAAGCATTTGTTCAAGTGAAACTCAGCTAACCATACATATACTTGTATGTGGAAGCACAACAAGACTTCTTTCAGCAGGGTGGCTAGGCGGGTTCTTCTGCAGACAAATGGAACAGCACAGGATGAAAAGTAGCCACCAGTGTTTCATAAATGCAAGCCAAGAAAGCCTGGTCCTCAAGTGCTATAGCATCATATTGTACCTCCCTGGACATATTGAGCATCAATACATTTTTAACATGTTCACAAGAAGGAATAAATAACTAACAATAAAATGTCTTTCTGTACAAAAGAACCCAACTATGTGAACATGGGGACAATTCTTTGACACAGTGAAGTGTCTTCTGAGAATTTCACAAAGAATAGTAACCTTTTCTAAAATTATAAACCCCACCCTCCCCCCCAAAAAAACAAAACACACACACACACACACACACACACACACACACACTACAGTGAAGGGAAGCACTAGATGTCTTCTGCAACTGTGGTATCAAAAATCTGGTAACAAATTCTTTGCTCTGTTCCAATGGTGACGGTGTAGGACTTGATGAGGCACTCCAGCCATGGGTATGCATCTACAGATCAAAGGAAAGATCAAGTAATCATTAAAGTAAATAAATAACTGGTAATGCTGACCTGGCCTATTTGTATTTTATCTGGTACAGCCCTCAAGCCCAGCGAGCATAAAGCAAGGCATTTCTGTGCATTGCTAGTATTTAAAAAAAAAAAAAAAAAACAAAAAACAAAAAAAAACAACAACAACTTGGCTATATATTTCAAAAGTTACCAGGCCCAGAGACTTGGTATTGAACACCTACCCATGGGCATTCCAACAGCTAACACAAATTAAAATAAAGCAAATGCATCCAAATTAAACTTTTCTCCAGATGGGCCAACATTCCCATCTCCTGGGAACCAATGCTACAACATGGGCCGACTGGCAGAACATACTCTCACCTGGAGACCTCTAGCAGTCACATCAGCAACAGATGAGCAGGCTGAGGGAAGGTGTGCTACTGAGAACAATTACGGGAAGAATCAAGCTTCTTAAAGAGAAAAGGAATCACTGGCCACAGAAGGACACAGTGCCTGCTAACCCTGGTATAACTTCATGCATGCAGGGGCATGCGGGCAAGCCAGTGCTGGTGCAGAAACAACTAAAGTTCATAAACTTTGAAAAGTAAAACCTGAAACTTTTGAAGTCCACTAACCCTGAAAAGAAAACCCACCCGTGAGTCTGACAAAATGAATGCAGTTTATCTGTAGGACATGTTTCTTGTGGAAACTGTATCCTTTTGGTGTAACTGCAGCCTCCATGTCTGTATGCTCTGTATGGAAACTCAGAGTCAACTGTACTGAGACCAAAACTGTTATGCTTTAAAAGTGTTATTTCAAAATATTTTAAAATTCCTTTACTTGTATTTGTCTTAGCCACTGCCTCATCAAAAAGTTACCAGAACCTAGTAATTCACGTGGATTCATGTTTTGCTCACTTGCACAGTCCACATATTAGAAACACACTAGGTGTTTTTCTCAGAAGAGAGGCATCTTTTGAATATTGCCTACCAATTTTTATTTCTGGAGGGCATAGCATATTCATGATTGTTTCTAGACTTCTCTGAAGGTCGTCATCAGTGAGGACTTCTGATGCTGGGATCTTGAAAAAGTTCTCCTAAAAGGGATGATAAAAAAAAAAAAAAGGCAATATTCATCATTTTAAAAAGTGTCAATATGGGGCTGGAGACATGGCTCAGGGATTAAAGGCACTGGCCTCTTTTGCGGTGACTAGGGTTAAAGGCACAGCACCCATACAGTGATCCCAGCAGCACTCCTATTCCAGGGGATTGATGTCCTCTTCTGATTTCCATAGGGACAAGGCGCACACACACGGTGAACATACATACATGTAGGCAAAACATTTATACAATAAAAAATAAAGATAAATTTTTTTAAAAGACAAAGCTTCAATGCACAGAATTTCAATATCCACTTTGTGAAAATGACATATTAAATGCATTAGTCTATTAAGGCTTTGGAATCCATCAACTGGAAAACAGGTCTGAGCCAAAACCTGATTCACTGTTGTAATTCTAAAACAGCTTTCAGATGAATATGTACATACACAGTAAGATCATACAGCAAGGCTGATAATACTTTTGTAAACTAGAAAGTAAATCTATTAAGTATGAAAGGATATAATATTAAATAATATCTATTTAATTTCTTCCCATTCTACTCTCAGTTTCAGAAAAAGTTTTTCTTATGTTGCTAACTATTCTATCTTAAACTCATAAGGCACATAGCAGCTTCCTAGTAAATACTTAGTAAGTGGCTGGGTGAACTGTGGAAACCAGAAAAAAAAAAAAAAAAAAAAAAGAATCTCTTAACCTCAACTTGGATTGTTTCCCAATTTATGGAAGTTAAAACAATCCCCCTTTTCCAAAAAAAAGTTTTTATCCCAACAAATGGCCAGCAGGTCTCCCTTCCTTTTAGCTTTTAATATTCATACTAGTGACTTGAAGATGCTTACTGGGGCTATCAGTTACTCTGAAAGATCTAACAATGTCAGAGTTTGGGACATGCAGTATTAGCTTGACCTCAGCAAGAGAACCATAAGCCATATGGGCAGTCAGTTATGAAAGACAACATACGTGAAGAAGTCAAGGTCTTGGCAAAACTTCAAGTCTACACACTGCCATGCACAGTGAAGGGAAAGTAACAGTCTCTGGCAAGAGGGAGAGGAAGACCCTGTGAATGATCAAAGCTAACGGTGGCCTCAAGAACTAGTCAGTGGACAGTTGCGAGTGTCAGAAATGACAGTAGTCTTCTGGGCTTCTCTACAGCTTACACAGCATTAATGTTTATCTAGTAACTTCATTTCCTTTATGATGAAACCACCTAGCTTACAAAGCACAGTGAGATGACAATGGCGTATAGCTAGATATCTGCTTTTTCGTCTAGCTTTGACATGTCTACATGACAGTGGGAATGACTCTGATTTTGATTCTTCAACTTTACATTTTTTTTAAACAACATGATTTATAATAAAAAAATAAAAGCAAAAGACATACAATATGAGATTTATGTGGCTATATTCTATTTATATATTTTAAGTTATCTTAAATCCTTTAAAGAGCAAAATACAGAAGAACTGAGTTTTGGCTTCAAAGGTTCTCAATAAGTTGCATTGAAGTTAACCTAAGAAGTATGAATATATTAAAATTTTAAACACACATTTTTAATTAAATGTATTTACTCATTCTGTTACTTACAGAGTCCTTAAGGTACACGTCCAGTACTCCTGTTCCATCATCCAGAGTGAAAGTCATCACAAACACATACTGCAGAGGCACGATGCCCAGAGCTAGCGAGCGAAAAGAGCACATTATACAAGGCAGTAAGATATCGTTATAAGGTAAAGCTGACAGTGTTTTATTCTAGCATACAGGGGCAAATGACACTTACTAAGATTATTTACAACAGAAAGAAAATGTGCACATAGAAACAGCCTTCTCCAGTATTAATTTATTGAAGTTATGCAACAGACCACTGTATTTATACAGGGTTAAACTCATGATATAAGCAACTTAATCCTAATACCTGACAGAAAGCAAGGAAAGTGAGTAATAAAATGCACCACATTGCATTTCAATCCTATGGAAAGTAAAACTAAAGTTACAGAACATCCTAAAAAGCAACATGTAGTTCAGTATTTTTAAATTTTATACCTCTTTGCAATATGACTATAGAGTATCCCTTATTTTTTTTTTTTTTTTTAAGAGATCTCACTTGGTTGTAAGGACAAAACTCAGAATTTGGGATTCTATAATTGGCTAAGGTGAAGAAGAATGAATAAATTAGATATAACAAATCACATGAGAATTCACCAGCAAGGTGAACATACTTTCATCAGAAGTTGAAGACACCACATCAAAGAAGTCTAATTAATTAATTAGAAGAATAAATTAGGCACAGACAAAATTTTAGTATTCAAGGACAATAAGACAGGAATAGAAGCCGGGTAGTGGTGGTGCACACTTTAATCCTAGCACTCAGGAGGCAGATGCTGGCGATCTCTAAGTTTGAGGCCAGCCCGGGCTACAGAGCTCCAGGACAGCCAGTGCTGCTGCACAGAGAAAAACAAACACACAAACCAAAAAACAACCAAACAACAACAACAAATTAGAAATTAATGGAACAGCTTTAAGTGCATGCTTTATAATGCTGCTATTGGATGCTGTAAATAAAGTCTAGGTGATAGTCATGTGTGCAAGAGATTGTCCTGGCTAAAGTCTTGGGAGGAAAGGAATAGCAATCTCAACACTTTTTACAATGCTAAGAATTAGAAAGATTTCTTCAGGATCTGTATTTGGGATCAGTGATTAAACAGAAAACAAGTGATCAAGTACTGAAATATGATTGTGATCAGAATGCTCAGAAATAATCTCAAGCATTTTGTGGTATATGAAAGAAAATGACGCCCAAAGGGAATGACAACTATTGGGAGGTGATGTTGTCTCAATTAAATGTTCTTATTTATAAGGGTGGCCATTGGCATGGTCATAGTGTCTCTTCACAGCAACAAAAAGCCCAACTAAAACTTATTTCAAATATTTAGTCCTCGTCTTTCAATAAAGTTATTGTAAACAGATTTCAATTTAGAAAAGTTAGGTTAGTTCTGCTGAAAATACCCATAAATGCTAAAGAACAGATAGGTGACATGGCAGACAGAACTGAAATTACAGAACACAGAAACTGAGCTGACCTTCTGCCACAGCGGAAGGAATCCATAGTCCTTTATTAAGAAGGGAATTTAGGTTTCCTATAGGTTTCAAGCTTGAACACTGCTTACATCTGAAATCAATAAGTTAAAAAAACAGTAAATACATAAAGGCAATCAAATTAATTTAATTACTACATCCTGTTCAAGTAGGGACAAATTTTTAAAGTTAGTTATTAATTAGAAGGGCAGAACACTGCCTATACTGTAATGTGTTTGTTTCAAAAAAGAATTATGATTAACTGTCTACATAAAATCAGTAAAAGATACAGTGAGTGTGGTGGCTTGAATCACAAAGGTCCCAGAAACGTATATGTTTGAATGTTTGGATCCTGACTGGTGGCCAGTTTAGGAAGGGTCAGGAAGTGAGGCCTTGCTGGAAGAGGTGCATCTCGTGGGCTTTGAGGTCTCAGAAGTGCACACAGGTCTGTTCTGCTCACACCAGCTTTCAGGTAAAATGTAAGCACAGGAGAGAAGTTGCCGGGACTCTTTGAATTTATGGCTCTATTAGCAATATCTGACGGCCACAGCATCACAAAAGCAATAAAAAAAAGTTATTCTGAATGAACAGTGAGTACAAATAAGATTTCAGGTAAATTAATGTTTTTAGTAAGCACATATTCAGAGACATAATTTACGATGCTTGACAGTCATCATCTGAAATATAAAATTGGACAATGTTTAGTACAATCTGCTTATTGTATTTTAAGTATATGTAAATTAATTTTTAGGCATGATTAAATGTTTATGAAATATAGTATGAAAACATGCTTATAAGTAAATTCAATAGGCATTTTCATTTATAAATTTGGGAAAACAGGGGTGACTGTTTTCAAGTTAATCATTTAATCAAATATTTATTAATTGCAATAATAAAAATAATGGAATGAAAATTATTCACTAATATTAGACAATGATAAGGCAAATTATTCACTAATATTAGACAATGACAAGGCAAATTACTGGCTAATTGTTCCTTTCCTAACTTAGATGGAAAGCAGGAAGGAAAAGGAACAAGGGATGGTCATGTCAGAACCAACGTCTGGACTACAGGCTTATTCAAAGGAGCACAGTATACGATGGGTTTTGATATTCCAATTAAGTGGTCTATAAATATTGCAGAAGATTTAAAGATGCGAAGACCCTGGGTACTTTAGGGCAAAAACAGCCAATTCATTTTACTTCATTGCTGAAGGTTTTCAGCCATCATGTATGAAACAAAACCAAGGCAAGCCCACCGGTCACTCTAAGGACCACAATCAGGGAGGTATGATAATGGCAGAAAGTCATTTTATAATGAAAACCCAAATTGTTTCATGAGTAATAGCAACTAGCAAATGCTACACATCAGGAGAAGGGCTGGAGAAAGCGAGGGAAGATGAGATGGCAGTATCTATCTAGGCTGCAAACAAGGCTTCTGAAAGCAGAGCATTTTCAGAGAGACTGTTTCATCACAAGTATAGGTGTTTCCAATGTTACTAAGCCCCTTTTGAAAATACAGTAGTTCATGGCATAAACAATACAGACATAGTTAATCCAAAGATCTTGAGCTGACCACATACCCATAGTGATACACTTTTCCTTGGATGAGGAATGGTGCTGAAAGGTCTATCAGCTCCAGGTCCTCAGGGCCGGACCTCACAGGGATCACACTGTGAAACTTGCTTGATAGTTTAGAGACTTCACAGAGCCTTCCTCCTTCATTAAAAAAAACAAACAAACAAAAAAAAAACAAAAACAAACAAACAAACAAACAAAAACCAAACTCTTCAATAACACAAATATAACCAGAGCAAGATGTGGAATATACGTAACATATTAGCGCAAATTCTATGGAGAATGGTAAAGAGAAGGGAGTTACAAATTATTTAAAAGAAAACTTAAACTCAGCAGGATAACAAGAAAACCAACTATTACATAAAAAAATACATTAAAAAAAGAGAAAATAAAAATAGTACAGTTCCATTCTTTTTAAAGTTGTCACTACACGGCTTCTCAAGGCTCTTTTCCTTCATTGAGGTATTACTTGAGGAATTTCATCTCATTTTTATGAAACAACAGTGACATCCAGAGGCCAAGACTTCACCAGCTGCACATGAACAATCAAATCAGCCCTCCTACTACATTATTTTTCAACTAGATCTGCTCAGATCCAACAAGATTATGGGCAGGAATCCAATAGACAAATGTAAATTTTATTCATAATTTGAAAATGCAATTCAGGTGAATGTGTTTGCTCATACATATTTGAATCTCGCTGGTGTTCTGTTTTGGGAAATGTAAATTAACAGTATTTTCATAGGTGTCCATAAAATATAGTTAACAGTGATTAATGTGCAAAACAACATTCTAAAAACTTAATAACAAGTCTCGTACCTTCTATCAAGATTAGACATTCATTTGAAAGAGGGAGGATGTTATCATTTTTCACAAAGTGAACGGCAACCTGCCGTCCTCCTTGGCCTTCAGTGAACCAGACTTTTGAGTCATAGAATGATGTATCTTGCAGCTTGCTGTTTGGAGCTTTAGTTGCAGCATCTTGCAAAATTTTATCTAAATTGTCCTCGTATGGAACTTCTTGCCTAAATTTTGAAAATGAAGTAGTATCAGAAGACAATATACGGATATTTCCCAAAATTCCAATTTAATAAATTATTCAAGGAAGAAAAACACAAAACAAAACACCTTAAGGGCTGCTAAGTGGTTAAAGCACTTGCTACTCCTGCATACACCCAGGTTTATTTCCCAGCTCCCAAATGGAGATGGACAACCACCCAAAATTCCAATGCTGAATTCCATTGGCACCAGGCATACACGTGGTGCACATACATACATGTGGGTACAACACTCATCATACATAAAAATAAGTGACTACAGAACAAATAAAAAAAAAACTACTTTATATGAAGATTAAATCACCTAAACTTTCTTAAATGCAGAAGACAATTCACTTTACAGACTCAATGGATTTTCTTCATAGGTACTTAACATTATATGGTTAGTGTATCTGTAGAAGTCTGGGGACATTTTATTACCATGTGGGTACTCCAGTCACCAGTGTGATAGCAGGCATCCTTACCCCTTGACCTATCTCCTTGGCCCATGCTTGGTTTAGAGTCCAAGGTTATAACCATTCCCAGTACCAATCTGTTGTCCTATATTAGTAGCTCTGTCTTCATCCCAGTTAATTCCACTGTTACAGGATGCCTACTTCAAAACAGTATTAGCTTCATCTGTCTTTAATAGTAATTCATACTAGTGACATAAATTCTTATGGTGTAGAAGTGGCATGCTTTGGTATCAAAAGGTCTAAGGACTGGTCCCGATTCTGTAACCAGCTGTTACAGGCAACCTTACATTCTCTAAGATGCTTTAGTTCAAGATCATGTGGGTAGAAAACAGACTCCTTGAGTTTCATGAAATTGGATTTAAGGATCAAATTGCTCCAAAAAAGACTAGAGTAATCTCAGATTTTGTAAGCAAATATATATATATATATATAATTTTAGAGAGAGATTAATGCATGGTATACAAATACAAATTATGTGGAAATGCACAGCTGGTTTTGTCCATGACAGTGCACTAGAGTTTCAGCTTGATGAACTCTGTCCTAATGTTCATGCACTACCTACATCTCCCAAAATACTATTTTCTTTATTTTGAGGTAATACGATACATTCTATTGAAAAGTCCAACTGGAGATAAAATTCATTATCTGAACAGGTTTTGAGATCAATACTGTTAAGTTTCAAACCTGGGACAAATGGCTGAGGTGCCCATTAAACATCAAAACTGGACCTGGCATCAAGCTTCTCCTCCCAGCATCCCTCAGCCTCACCTGTTATAGCATATGCCTCACACGCCCTGCCCTGCAGTCCCCTACCCTGAACGCTCCAGGCCAGGCCTGCCCTTTCCTCAGAGGCTCTTCCTTACATAATCCAGGTATTTTGGTTCCTAATTCTTTTGGACCTTTGGCCTCCTGGCTGCTGCACCTGGTCCCCTCCCTTTCCCTTCCCCTCCCTGCTCCTACAAGGCCCAGCTCAGTCTGGTCATGTCCACTCTAGACTTTCCCAGATGCCCCTGCTTCTTCTGACTATACTCTCCCACAAACCTATAATAAACTTTCCCCTCTACCATACTCAGAGCAGTCATATCCTTTGCTTTCTATTTATTTTTTTCATTAAAATACATATTAATAAGATTACAAAAAGGACTATATATTTATATAGTCACACAATAATTAGTGTTTGCAATGAAGACACTGCATTTACTATATTATCATTACCAAACATGACAGAAAATGTTCAATTGTATCAAACTTACTAAAGGTTGAATTTCAAGCCTGAAATTAGTATCTATTTTCAGTTATTATTACTAATGATGACTCAAAAGGATTTTCTCTGTTGGAATTTAGTACTTTCCATTTAAGTCATTAGCATTCCTTTAAATCACTACAAACTAAATTATAATTTACTCATTTTAGCACCTAAAACTTTACATACACACATACACACGGGCATGCATATACATGAATAACAAACAATATGGCATAAAAGCCTTATTAAATTTTAGGAAATACGTACAATGAATGACATTTAGGACAAAGAAGCTTAACAGATTGGAAAAGTCTTCTGGGCATATATGATCTCAGTTTTGCACGGATTCGATATTGCTGAGGAGCTTTTTGCTTCAAAATAGCACACAATGGTGTTTTCTCTAAATACTGGTGATCTGTAAGTACTGTAAAGAAATTTTATATTAAATCAGAGTAAATAATGTATGCTAGTCTTACCTGTGTTTGGCATGAATCCCCTTAAAGCAAAGATACACTATAAAATAGTCAATCTCAGCTACATAATAAATATATATATATATATATCTCATGGACACTATGCCAGGCACAGAGCAGAGATCCACCAAACTTACTAAACAGATGCCAACTACCTGGCACAAGGTATAATTTAACTATATACTATGTGCTTACATATCGTGTTATACCATTAAATATTATGTGCTATGCGTTTTTATAAGGGCCTAATAGAAATTTCCAGGAAACTTCTAATTTATGGAAAACAGAAAGGTATATTTCAATAAAAAAAAAAAAAAATAGATGTTACCTGTGTAAAATGTGAAACAGTTAAATGTAAACCTGAGACACCCCATTAGGCAAAAGCTTACATTTTAATTGGTTTTCATCAAATGGATATTAACAAAACATATTCAGTAAAAATTATCTACCACACAGGCTCTTGTCCTGGGTAACACAAATTCAACACTGTATTGAACTCCCTTCATTTAAGAGCCAGAATGTGAGGATGGAAATGATTGTTGGGGGAACCAATTATCAGTCATGCAGTGAGTGAAAGAAAGAGACTCACTTTCCAAGTGGGAAGGGGAAATGGGACAGGGGGAAAAATGCTGTGGGAGAAAAGAAGCAATTAGGGTTACAATCGAAGGAATGAACAGTACTGCCACGGAAATAAAAAATGGAAGGTTTGGGATAGCTGGAATGAGTTTACATTAAACAGCTCTTCCTCAGCTCCTTAGATATTCTAGGACAACCCTCCCCTATTGAGAAAACAGAACAGATGCACAAGCCCTACAAAGCCCAAAAAACCAGGGGTTGTTCAAGATTTAATTCAACAAAACCTTCAAGGAGTACATTTTCCTTCTTGGGGTAAGTGGCTAAGCTTTGTAGTGCAACCCTAGTGCTTTGTAGATCTGATCAATTTAAAATAAAATGAAATACTTGTCTCACTCCACATTTTGAGGTAATATCTTAAAATATTTAAATTCTATTACTTTCAACCTTAAAGAAAAATTGTTAGAGTAACATAAAGGCATCTTCAATATGCTGTTAAAAAAAAAAAAAAAAAAAAAAAAAAAAAAAAAAGATTCACCAATGGTAATATACCATTCCCTGGATCTACCTTTATCTTTCTTTCTCCTTAAAATTTTGTAACTGGCAACAGCTAAAATAGACTTTATGTCTCATTTTCTCCTAACAATTATTTCATGAGAAGAATTTGTTTCATTGACATAGCCACAGTCTGTTTCAAAGACAATGAGCATAGTTTTCACACTATTATGGGATTATCAGATACTTAAATCACTCTGTCTTTCTAATAGTAACAATACAGAATATTTGTCTTTCATGAATTCACATTCCAACTTCAAATGATTCCCAATCTATTTGTGTTTACTTCATGGCACTGACTTGACAAGGAGATACTTACTTTGTTGAGTAAGCATCATTTTCAGTATGGGTGTATTTCCTCACACTCAGATTCTGATCATGCACTTTTGGCACAGAGATTACATATACGACACTGGTTCTCAAGGCATCCTATGGAGTGGGCTGAGAGAGGACCTTGCCCTCCAGGGGAGGGAAATTATGCAGGTAACTAAAGAATGTTCACCATCTCTCTACTCTGAATGAATTTCCCACTGTTGTAATTTGTAAGGGAGTAACTTAGAATCTAATAGTTTAAAACAGACTGATTCATAATTAAACCAATAATTATCACCATGTTTGCAAAATGATTTTTAAACATTTTTTTTCAATCATTAGGTACCATTCTGTCTTTTAATAGTTTTCTATTCAATCACATTTTATTAGCAACTGAATTGATATATTCCAGTTTTACTCAATTAACCTTTATTTTGATGACCACATTGTTCAAGATTAGGTATTATCTATTAACTGAGAATTTCTTATTTTCTTGCAATTCAAGATGTTCTTGATTTATCTCTAATTTCCCAGTCTTAATTTTGGAATCTGCCTTTTCTCCAAAGATACCAGGAATATTTCTATAGGTCAAGTTCTGCCTATGCATTACATATGTTTATTGCTTCCGGAGGTCATTGCCTCTGGATGACAACACCTGTAATGGTATCCATATAGGCATTTAAAGCCTCAGTATGAGGCATCTTCATTTCCAGTAAAACATAAATCTCTAGTCCCTCATCCCATACTTACACTCCTTTCTTCAAGAGGAGAAACTCCCATTTTATAGCATTATACATTTAATGAACTACTTACTGAATTATTTAATATACTTCTGCTTAGACATTTTCATTTTTCTGAATTAAAGCTTTTCTTCAAGTTAGTTCAAATAACAGGAGTGAATGTGGTAAATGTGTTCTATCACTGTTGATATTAAAATTTGAAAGCATAGTGTAAAGAATTTCTTAAGTGTGCATAGTTAAATATATCATATAATTTTATTGAATTAATGTCAAGAGTATAATTTCTATCAATAACCTAATAACATACCTAATGCAATAAATTTTATATATCATGTTGATCTGTAACTTATGCATTTTCAATAAAGAGATATGCACATGCAGGGGTTCTCTCTTATACCACTATAGGATGAAGCAGGGGAATCAAAGGTAAACACAAACACTGACTGAAGGTCTACTGTCACTGAAGGTTGGAGTGTGTAACCACAGGCATTTGCATGCTGGTTACTGTACTGTGAGTGTTCTTACTTGTAGCAGAGACTTGCTGACATCGCTCTACATCATACAGTGATACGGAGCCTGATCCAGAGTCTACAGGGAGAGAAAAGGTATCACACAATTACATAGCACATTAGAAACTTAATGTAAAATTTAAAATACACAACACTGTCTAGAGAAACTGAGCAAGGACTATGTAAACATTGAAATGTTTATTTTCCTTAAATCTATTTGCAGATTCAGGTATTCCTAACCAGCTTCTAGCTGGAGAGAGGGCTCAGAGGTTAAGAGCACTGGCTGCTCTTCCAGATGTCCTGAGTTCAATTCCCAGCAACCACATTGTGGCTCACAACCATCTGTAATGGGATCTGGTGTTCTCTTCTGGTGTGCAGACATACACGCAGGCAGAACACTGTATAGATGATAACTAAAGAAATCTTAAAAAACAAACACACACACACATACACACAAACCAGGCTTAGTTACAAAAAAATTCAACAAGCAAGGTCCCTCCTTTCTTTGAGGAGAAAAAATATAATGAATTTAGAATACTGAATAAGGTCTTGAAAGGGAAGTACATTAATGGATTTAAATTACTTACTTGACTTCAAGAATCTCAGGTATTAAGACTGGCAAGCCAAGAAGGCAAGGAAAACTTGAAATCAACCCACATTTTGATTGTTGACAAAGGAAGGAAGGTCATTCGCAGAGAACACAGTATTTTTTTTTTTTTTAAAGAATGGCTTTGCAAGCACTAGAAACAATTACTAAGAGAGGCTGCATAATTAAAAATGTACTAATAAGTGACACGCAGGAAGCCTCCGATAAAAGCATACTTATGGTTACTTGATGTTTTGGTAGACACTGAAGCCATCCACAAGAAAAAGAAACATACAGTGCTTCTGTCGCAAGTCTCCACACCCCACTTCTCTCAGTAGTAAGAAATGAACTACTGACATCTGTTTCAGCACAGATGAATCTCAGAACACAGCATGCACAAAAGCAATCCCATTCAGTTCAACGAGAAGAATATCTTTGAGAGGTTTGGATAACTCATGATTATGCATTAGACACCAATACACATATACTCAAAACAACTTGGGTTGGTTAAGATAAAAGAGCATCATCACCTTTTTGTCCCTTTTACAAGTTGACAAGCAAAATGGTTGCTTAGGAAATACATATAGTTTTTTTTTTTTTTCAAATGAATACAAAACACAACACATACATTATAAATCAAATAAATACTATCACTCAAATTTGAAAATGTGATTATATATTTAAAGATGAACCAAGCTTAATTGTGCATAGAACAGATAAATGTTAAGGTGTTACTTTCATATACATACACACAGTATAGGTATATGGTTGAAAAAAGAGATATCAAAAAGAAAAGATTTAAAAAGATAAATGTGCTTCTAAAATTATGAGGAAGAAAAATGCATTATCCTTACTTGACAGTTCAAAGTTGTCCTCATTTGCTGATTGACAGATACTATTTGAGCGCTGATTGACTGCCAACTCTGCACCTTCTAAATCTCTAAAATTAAAGAATAGGAAACCAGAAAGTGTAACAAAATCAACAGAGTAAGTTTCAGCTTCACCCACAATATCCAGGAGTTCAATTTGGTATGATTCCAGTCAATGGTCTGTGGCTTTTATCAGATTAACTGAGAGCTCCAAAGCCCTCAACATGTAGAGAAGAAGTCAGAAAGATGACTAGAGCAGCCAGTCAATGAAATACTATAAAACCCAAAACCCTGGGAATGCAATTGTTAACATTATTAGTTACAATGATCACCTGAGCCTCAGACTCTGGAAGTGGACACAAGGTTTCCCAAGTTCTTCTTGACAGCCCCTTTTAGCCTCTCCTTGAAGCTGATCCATGTTCATTACTTTGTGAATCCACTGACCTGCAGAGTCTCTTTCTTTCTTTTTTTTCTTTTAAAATTATTTATTATGTTTATTTTGATTAATTATACTTTGATGATCTTCAGAATGTTTCTTTTTTTTTTTCAGGATTATTTATTTATTTATTTGTTTTTTATTTTACATGTCGACCCCAGTTCCCCCTTTCTCCCTCTTTCCCTCCCTCCCTCTTACCCTCTCTGCCCCCTCACATGCACCCTGACCACCCTCCCCTCCCATCCCCCCACCCCTATTCCACATGTAGGGCAATGCCATCCAGGTGGGGTCATGTAAATCTGACAGGTCATTTGAAGTAGGGACTAGGGCTTCTCTCCTGTCTCTAGGTTAAGGCAGTTTTCCCTCCATGGGGGATGTGTCCCCGAGGTCCTTTTGTGCACCAGGGATACATCCTGGCTCCACTGTCTGAGGTCCCTTAGACTGCTCAGTCCTTCTGGCTGAGGCCCATATTCAGGGGGGCCTGAGTCAGTCCCATGCTGGCTTCCCAGCTATCAGTCTGGGGGCCCATTAGCTCCTCCTGTTTCAGGTCAGCTCTCTCCAACCTGGTCATGTCTTCTCCCTCTGCATCTGGATTCTAGTTAGACTCAGTGTTTAGGTATGGGAGTTTGCTTCTGTTTCCAACAGGTACTAGATGAGGGCTCCATGACTTATCAACGAAGTCAGTTGTTGATCTCATTATCAGGGAAGGGAATTTATGGTAGCCTTTCCACAGTTGCTCAAATTGTTAGTTGGCGGCAGTCTTGCAGGTCTCTAGAACTTTCTTTAGGTTCAGTTTTCAAACCAATAATGGCTCCTTCTTTTATGTTCTCTCTCTCTCTCTCTCTCTCTCTCTCTTTCTCTCTCTCTCCTGTCTTCTATTCCTACCCTGACTCAATCTTCCTAGTTGCAAGCGTTTTCCTCTCCTCCCCTTCCCTTTCTCCTACTTCTCTCTCCATTCACACTCCCCCCCCCACACACACACACACTTCCCATGTGCAGATCCAGGGTCTCTAATTCTTCTCAGCCACTTCTCTTAGCCTTTCCTTCTTAGTTCATCTCCATCCCTTTGTGACCAACCAGCAGAACCGCTCTCTATTAGCAACCCCACAGCTGCCATGCTGTGTGTGTGTGTGTGGGGGGGGGATAAAGCAACCAAAGAACAGAAACTCCCCCAACAGAGACAAGAACAGATAATCTATACCAAGAAACACCTCAAATAGCATAACTACAGATGCCTAAATCACAGAGCAAAATACGTGCAAAGTGTTCAGAGTCTTTGGAACACTCATCCCTAAGTAGGATGTCTTCATCAAAGTGTTCCTCTCAAGGCTCAGGGACCAATTCAAGAGAGAAGGCATAAAGACTGTAAAAGCCAGAGGTGGTGATAATTCCATAGAAATGGCATCTTCCAGACACAAAAGGACTGACGCACATCTGGGCTCATAGACACTGCCAGAACATGCAAAGATCTACACAGGTTTAATCCCAGCACCGAGAAGGGGAGTGGGCACAAAGTGCCACCCTTAACCAAGAGTTCTTTACAATTAAGACCTGTTGGGAAAGAGAAAATCAGTTTTCACCAATGGAGTATCACTGAGTATATCACTCTTGGACAGGCCCCATGCTCAGAAGTAGAAGGCCAACACAAGATGGACTCCATGTGTTATTTATTTTGTTATCCTTTTTTGTCTTACTGATTTTCTTTTTTTAGTTCATCTATTTTGATTTGTTTTCCTTTTTGGGGGGAAGGGAGGAGAGAGGATAAGAAATTAGGTGGGTAGGGATGTGGGGTAGGATTTTGGAGTAGTTATGAAAGGGAAGAGAATATGCTCAATATACATGTATGAAAAAGTTTTAAAAATTGAAAAGTGAAATAGCATTCTGACATATGGTAAATTAAAATAATATGGAACTGGTAAAATAGAAACGTAATGTCAAAGGCAAATTTAAGTAATTTAATTGATGTAAATTAAATCCTAGATGACAATAATTGTATTTTGGCTTATATATAAAACGATATACTTTTTCTTTGAAGATATATGGATTTCTTTTCTAGAATATGGTGAAAATGTTTCTCTTCACAGTACCCACTAAAAACACCAAAGAAGCAAACTGAATTGAAAACATGTTATTTTCTAAAAACTTTAAAAATATCCCTTAAAATGTTTTAAAAAATGTTTAAAAAATACTGCCATACTTTGTGATGTATTTACTCAGAAGCCACTTTAAAAGGATCATCTTTTTGAAGTATGATTAAATATGTTCTTGAGTTCTCAATATATAATCACATAATCAAGTATCAACCAAGTTTGTAACTGTCTGAAACCTCTGTACCATTATTTGTTGCTATACTTAGTGTAGGAAATGTAAAAGAACATGACAAATGAAAAATTGAAAAACTGATTTTTAACTGCTGGAACAACATAAATTATAATGTTGGTTACTAACTCAACTCTTGTATGTAAAAATCACTTGTTTCATTTGGCTTATGTAGTCTAAAAAACATCATAGAGATACAGATAAGAATATAGTCCAGGGATAGTCTGCCTAGGAGGTGCGAGAGTCTGGGCTCGATTTTCAGCAAGACAAAGAGGAGAAATAGGAAAAAAGACTAAGGCCTTACAGAGCCCCAGAAACAATGCTACCTTGCAAAAAGTCTAATGAATACTTCATTTATGATTTCTAAGCAGGGGTATAAAATACTCACTTTTTCAGCTGATCCACGCAGGAGCTAGTTTCTGGCAAAACCCTGATCCCCCGACCATAACTGGTCCCTCCATGGAGATGAAACTCCAGCCTTAACAATGAACTGTTGGTGTCTGTATTAACAGAATGAAGCTTGGTATGGAGGCTATAGATTCTAAGAAAGCTTCCAATCTAAAAAGAAGATTAAGAATATTAGTTCAGAAAAGAGGAACTGATTTAAACAGTTTCTGATAGTTGAAACTTTCACGATCAATAAGAGTCAGTAGCCAAAGACACAACAGCCAAGGGCACTGTCTATCCACAGAAGACAATGGAAGCAGGACAACTCTGTGCCTAATATCAGTTGCATGGATTTCATATCAAATGTGAAACACAGCTACAGGACCATGCTTACGTACATACCCATGTGCACACTACATTACAGAAGCAGGCCCATTCAGAAGACCATCAATACAATATAGTGAAGGAGTCCCAAGACCTCAATGAAATTCTATTTGATAATGTTCTGAAAAGAAATTCTTTGAACTAGCCTAAAATAATATTAAAAATGAGTCATAAAATGCTCTCACTATGAGACATTAAAAAATTAATCATATAGTATAATCAAAATAACATAAAGGCCATATTTATTCCACAGGTGAATGCTCTTGCAAGGCACAGAAATGCTCCTGCTTTAGCCCTCTGATTACTGGTGCCATCCACACATGCCGCCACTTGTTTTCCCTTCGCCTACAAATTCCATGGAAAACTAAGTTCTAATATGGGATTTGTTTTTTTGTACTTTTATCACAGTCTTGTGAAAAACATTCTGTAAATTCAAATATAGAATTAAACCACAAGTTTGAACTATGGTCAATCTCAGCTGTTGTTCTAAATGTATCCTAAAACTTCTTTAACTAGAAAAAGATAACAAATGGGCTAACATAGTAGGGTATTCAAAGTCACTGACACTTAGAGACAAGTGTTCTTGTATGAGCCTCTAGTACCAGCTATGGGGGAAGACAGTGTATGCCCAAATTTTCAAATCCAGCTCAGGCAACTCCACTGTAATATAATATAGACATTGACATCTACCCAAAGGAATATGCTACATAATATAAACTAATATAGATACAGAGATATAGATATACTGCATGCATTTTTGTGAAGATTTATGAGCAAAAGGTAACGGAAATAAGGAAGTTTAATTCACTTGCATATAAACAGCATTCCTGAGTGTTGAATGGGAAGCTACCTTTCTCGTTTTCCCTACAAATTCAGTATAATTGTGTTACAATATATTAGAAAAGCATCAAAGGGAGGGAGGGGCCAGGGAGGGTTTAGTGATGGGGGATAGGAAGGGGGCAGGGAGGGACAGAGAGAGTAGGAATGGCAGAGAGATAGGGGTCAGGAGGGAATGATTTTACCTGCTTTTACATCAGAGGTAGAAAAGGGAAATAGAAGTTCAGGGGACAAAAATGTAAAAACACAAGGGATGTATACACTTACCATGAAAACTCCAAAAAGAAATACTAAAATAGTAAATAGTAAAATGTCTATTTTTGTATGCTTTTTGTAATATTTATTATTTTGATTATACATTAGCATAGCACATGTCTATAACTGTCAAAGGACTAGAAAAAGGCTGAAGCACAGAAAAAAAAAAAAGACCTCTATTAGTAGACAAAGCTTAGCTATCTGAAGTTAAATTTCTTTTACATCACGTTTTAAATATAAGGCAATTTGAGCCAAAAACTTTAGTGTCTTTCATGACATCTGAAAACTTTTTCCAGAAAGGGACGTGTATGGAGGGAAAAGGTCAAGACTGTTCTGAGGAGTAGGATGTGGGGTAAGACAAAAGTAAAATTAATATACACCCTAAGGAGAACAGGGAACATAGCTATATGCTGGAGTAAGAGAAGAATTTGAAGTGCAAGAGACTGAGATCATTGGACACTTTAGAAGGTCCCATGTCCAGCTTTACTGCAGAGGAATATGAAATAAATATTGTAAAATATTAAGGAGAATGTATAAACAGTGAATATACACTATACACCATGTGTTTCCTTTACTACATTGCATTAGTATATAAAATGCACAGGCAAGCATAGAGCTTATTTCTCTGAGCAGATCTCAGAGTAGAGGTGACAAATTGTTATTATCAAAAATGCCTTCTGGAGGCAGCATTGTAAAGCCTGAGTAAATATTATGAAATGTGCCGGGTTGTATTGTCTAATCTTATTAGTAATGCAATAAGATTCCCAAGCTACAAGCTAAGGAATTGTGACAAAAATGGTACAGTTTAATCCATTGTGAGGGTCTAATCAATAGATGACATTAGAAATATATAGCTAGAAGGAAGTCATTATGCCTCTCGGAAAGAGTGTTCTCCAATTAACAAAAGAAGCAGGTGCAGTGCTTTCATCTTCCCCCATAGCTAACTATTATTGGGCCAGTAGATGGCAAAAAGTGATAATGGCTATGTATGTTTTATGCTATTTTAAGAATTTTAAGGATTGCAGCAGGGGAAGAGTGTATTATTTCTGGAAGTTGATAATATTATGCTTCTTACTTCCATTGACTATTGCCATTTATAGAACATTTTTCCTGGTGCTATACAACCAATTATGAAATTATCCTATGAATGCTATGAAAATGCAAATCTGAACCTATCTTGAAGTCCTGACACTGCTAAGCTCATGCTATGAAGTCAGAGAAATATGATGTGCCATCTACTTTCTTAATTACGTGTGCTCATGTCACCCTCTAGTGGACAATGCAGAGGATACAGCAACATTAAAAATGCTGAAAACCCATTCCCAGCATTCTTGGTCTCTCTAACCAGAAAGATATTCTTTAATCCTCAACACTCTGAGCTCCGTTGCAATGTGCTACTTAGGTTTCAGGGAAAAGAAGAAGGAGAGGCGGCGAGAACTCACCTAGTTAGGACAGCAGCACAGGGGAAGCGCAGAGAATTCAAAAAATTAAATGGTCAAAGTAGATTACAGAGTTGAGTAAAAGTGTACATCCTTTCCCCTTACTAAAGAGAGGATTTAATTTCCCGAATGTTTCACTTTCTCACTTAAAATGGAATGAAGCCAGCATTTCCCTCTTGGGGTAATATCCAAATCATCTTGGATGCCTTGCAAATGTTACTCTGGATACTGCTATTCATGCTAATGGTATCTGCTACAGGAGACTTCCAAAAACTATGGATAAAAATGAAGGAAAACTCTTCTCTACCATCTGTGAGTCTAAATTCAGTAAGAACGACCAAGTTTCCCTAGACAGTAAACAAGGTCCAACAATACACAAAAACATACCCAAATTACTATGCACACTAGAGGTAGTAAGTACTTTCTCAAAGAATTATGCACAAAGTCAAGTCTACACTCTGCCAAAACTATTCAGAAAGTGTCAAGATAGTAAGTTAGGGAGCTAGAACCAGGGCTAGAATCTTAGTCGTGTGTCCACTCCAAGGAGCTAACTGTGACTTCACCTGGAACAGACCCGAGAGGTCAGTGCCTAATGCACTCTGGACAAACAGTGACCTGAGCTGATTCTGGACCTCAGCCTACACTTTCACACAACCATGAGGAACAAAGACTTCTTTCTGGCTGTCTAGAACCTGGCCTGGCAGCTCATGGAATAGGAGCTACAGAATAGATGAGCAGTAGCCAGAGCAGCTGCTGCAGAATCTCCTTCTGGATTCTCAGATTCTGCTACAGCATATACTGGTAACTCAAAATCTATTTTAGAAAAAGTAAAAAGGAATACATGGAGATTCTAAAGAAAATATAAAGATTTTTATTTGTTGAATGTAAAGTTTTGATTTGTATAATAATAATATTTTGCATCATATACATTTTGTATGAAAAAAGTCACATATTTCCACTGTTTCTAGTCTTCTTAATTACTTATAAGTGGACTTTGCAAGTGAAAACCAATAGTAATAGCATATGCATGTTGTCAAAATGTCACCCATTTAAATAAAATAATTTGTCATAATTATTTTCATGAAGATAAATATTGCTTTAATGATGGCCTTAAAGTTGCAATTTCTTTTAAAAAGTTTTTAATAATTTTATGTATCTTTGTTTTTTAAAAACATTTCGCTTATCACAAATCTTCTTTACTATTTCTAGAAAAAATATGTATATAGCCATAGTTTAAAAAAAAAAAAACAACCTACTAACACATGAGAATTCCTTTTTTGAGTTGTTGATAAGGGTTGTTTGAGAGACTTTTAAAACACTGGCTATTGCTGAAGACTCCATGACTTTGGACATAGGACCCAGGAAGCCTGAGTTGGATCTCATCTGAAAGACCCCTCCATAAGGCATCACAAAAGCTCCCAAAGGAGGAAGCACCCAACAGGCCTACCCAGCTGTGATGCCCACAAACAACAATAATGACCAACATAGCACGATAACAGTAGGATTATAATAGTGACATGCAAACCTTGGTGGTACCCAACAGCTCTTTAAACAAGAGGGAAATTGTGTCTGGGACTGTGAACCTAGTCAATTCCCTAGGACTAGTGAAGTGGGTCTTGGAGGAGAACCTACAACTGCCACTTTACTAAACCAACATATTTCCTAACTACATTCTAAAAATGTATTCTTACACACATACACACACACTCTCTCTCTCTCTCTCTCACACACACACACACACACACACACAGAGAGAGAGAGAGAGAGAGAGAGAGAGAGAGAGAGAGAGAGAAGGAGGAAGAGTGAGTGGAATGAGAGAGAAAAGTATAGTTCTCAGTTCTCATCCTTCATCAAAGAAAATTTCTCTTTAACCTCTTTAACACAGACACCATCACAGAAGACCGCAACCAATCAAGATGCAGAAATGTATCTCCTAGTCCAATGTATCCGTTAACAACATAACTGTACCTAAAGCTCAGGGAACATTTCAGAAAAAAGGAAATGAAGACTGTTTAAGAGCCAAAACTACAGGAAGTTTGTTATGAGATTGTATCTCCTAGAAATATCAGAGAAGCTAAACCTATTAAATCTTACCAACAGAGCTTGTTAAACATGATCTGAACAAAGACATGTTAATGAAAGAGGGGCAAGCCCACAAGGACTGCACCCCAAACACCCCAGACAAAGAACTACAGACAACTGAGGAACGCTGAGAGCAGAAGAAATAGTCTTCCCCAGGGAAGAACACAGCAACTGGTATGTAATACCAAATGGCCAGGTCTGAAAACATATATACAAGTAACCTTTATAAGGACTGAACAGATACTGTTTATATATTTAGGAAACATACACAGAGACAAAGGAAAAGAGGCCATGGAATTTTAAAGAAATCAGGGGATGGGGAGTACTTGGGAGTGGTTGGAGGGAGAAAGGAGAGGAAAGGGAAAGAGGGAGAGTAATGTAATTATATTCTCAAGTAAAAAGTAATTTAAAACGTATGCATAACTAAAACACATTCAGAGATTTAAACTTAATCTAAACACACATTTTATAACTTAAAACTTGAAGACAAATCGGGTTCATTTCTACACTCCAAATATTACCAACAATATATGAACAAAAATTACAAAACCAGGAAGGAAAACAAAATAGCATCTTTCTACTCAACATCACCTTCAGGGATTTTGCCACTTGAACATGGTTATCATAGACAAGAATGTCTATCACCAGACTCTGGAGCTGTAGAATGTGATTTAAATCACCTTCAAAAGGAAGATCTTGTATGGAGACTCTCCAAGAGGGAAACACCGTCCTCGTCCCGTCCCATACCTGCCATGGGACAGTAAAGAAAAGCTGAATTATCTTTATACAAAAACACTGAGGCAAGCCTAAAAATGAACTGGTGTATGCCACTAAGTGTTTTTAATACTTTTAAATGAGATGTATATCATTCTGTGGCCGAGAAAAGGCTAAATATGAACTATATGCAGAAAAATGTACAAAGACATAAAAATGAAAAGTCCTTGTATGATACAAAACAAAGTATTAACTAGGTGTAGACTTTTGACTTTTTTCTATTGTGTGCTCAAATACCTCCCCATCTTCACCCACCCACCTCTCCTTCTCTTTATCTCCCCCATCTACAGCCCTCACTTCTGGGTATATATAACTTCTGGTTACTACAGAAAACAAAGATATGAGACAAAAGCAAAACATTAAAACAACGAGATTATGCCTGTTTCAAAATGAGTATCAAGACACCAGCATAAGCTTAAGGATACTTAAAAGTATTTCTCAGCATCTACATCAGATGAACGGAGTAACAGGGAAAAGTGGAATGGGACTGTTTAAAGATTGCTGAGGGCTAGAGAGATGGCTCAGCAATACCACAGTGTCCCTGACGAAGGCATGTGTTTGGTTTCCAGCACCCATGTCAGGTATCTTATAATTCCCTGTAACTCCATCTTTAGCAGATCTAAGTCATTTTTCTGGACGTTCTAGGTACCTGCACAAATGTGCATATACTACATATATACATGGAATTAATTAACAAAATGCATTCCTAAAAAAGATTTATTTAATTATGGCTTAAATGCAAACCACAGGTAAAGGGTGTTGCTACAGCCTAGAGTCATCCGGGAGGGAGGCATCCACTGAAAACCTGTCTAGTTCTGACTGGCCTGTGTCCATATCTGTGGGGGATTTGTTTTTGACTGTGCATTGATGCAGGAAGGCCCAGTCCACTGTGAAATCAGGAAGGTGGTCTGGAACCAATAAGAACATTAACTGTATAAGCTGGTGTATAAGCGAACAAACGAAGTGTCCTTCATGACTTCTGCCACACTTCCTCGACTGTGCATGAGTTCCACATTTAGAAATGATGTGGCTGGAATGGGATACTTTTAAGTTCTCACTTGAATACCTATCCTGACTTCCATCCAGACTGTGATCTGGAGATATAAGCCAAATAACTCTTCCCTTCCCTAAGTTGATTTTGGTCAAAGTGTTTAGTCAAAGCAACACAAATGATACTAGAACACATGGCTACAGAGAACACCGGAAATGGATATATCATGATTATTAAAAAGGAACCAAGATTACATTGTGCTCACATTGAAAAAGAAAGCATTATGTTGCATACTAATAACCATAACTTAAAAAGAATGTCTATTTTCCTGTTTTTAAAAGTTATTTCTGATACATGAGAAAATCAACATCAGAAAAAATGAATCATAATTCTATACCTTCAAGGCAGTTAACAGTAAAACATTGCCATATATACTTCTCAGAATATTTCTGCTAATGTAGGAACATCTCTAGTATATAAATGAAAATATAGTACTAGCAGTCTATTATTAAAGTTTATTTCAACAGGTTTAGGATTACAATTTCACTGTATAGTCATAAAACATTCTGCCACAAAGAGTTCAAAGAATCAGTTACTGCATTTCTTTTCTTCCAGGTTTTGACTGTATATGAAGTATTATTTCAAGTATACTTTTTCATACATTTAAAATTATTTCAATAAAGGAATTCCATAAAAATAAATGGTTAAATGATTTGCAAAGGCTTTTAAGACACATATCAAGCAGTCCTCAAAAAGCCTCATTAATTTTCTTATATTTATTTTTCAGTGCTGAATGTTAAATTAAGTTCCTGGGCCTTATTCAGCCTTGCTAACATTCAGGCCTGGAATGGAAGGAGCTGACGAGGCTTCACGCAGAAAGGCTACTGGCCATTAACAGCTTCTGCAGTCCGAAGAATCCTGTTTCTTTGGGAATCTGACAAGGTAGGGTGGCCATGCCCCAGTGAATGAACTCCTCCTCAAGCTCATATGGGCAGCACTCAGTAGACTCAGGGAGGAGGGAAAGGACATGAAGGTGGGAGTGGGATGCTTTGTGGGGACAACCAAGGGTAAGATGAAGGAGGAAACTGGAAGTGGACCGGATCACATTTCACAGTACACATTTATGAAACTCTCAAAAGAATAAATTTTAAGATACAATATAGTGAGCCCTTTCTCCAAGGCTGACTTTTCTAAAAACAGATTATCTCCTATAAAAGGCTATAGGCAAACATGTGTTCCTTAGAGAGAAAAACCATAGTTTTGACTCTATCAGCTACAGGGCAGCAGGCTTTATCTCAGAATTGCAGTTTTTTTTTTTTTTTTTTTTTTTTTTTTTTTTTTCTCTATCATCATAACAGTCAACAGATGCTATCTGCAAAGAGCCAGCTTCTCTTTGTTCCTGGTAATGTTCAACAGTTAACAAGTAGTCATCTGTTAAGGGAGTCACATTGGCCTGGGAACATAAGTTACTTATCTAGGATTCCTTCTAACCCTAGATGATTTTATATTTCTTTACTATAGTTAGGCTTTACTTTAATTAGCTTTTCTTAAAACAACAACAACAAAAAAAATTACTAAGCTCTATGTTTACATAAAGCTGCTACTTTCAACTCCAAAAATTTGGTATTTTACCCAGTGATTTCTATTTTTCAGTGTTCTTTCAAATGTGCCAGCAAGAATCGTAATGTTAAGCCCTGTCTTATCATAGCACTATGGCATTCCATTTCTTGTCTAATTATTCCAAACAGACAAGAGAAAGTTAAGCACAGGATATTGGTCAAACCGTGCTCCTAAAAAGAATCTTCTATAATGGGCAAGCAAGAAAAATAATTAAGCAACTACCTTCTGCAGGTTATTCATAGGGTAGGAGTAAATGAAGACTGGATAGCATTTATGTGACTGTATTTTTTTCTAGCTAACTTAAAACCAAAACAAAAATAATAATCAACATTTCAAAGTCATTTATGCCTATTTTCATAAACAAGGCAGTGAGAGACATGGGGACAGAATTTAATAGCAATATACCCAGAAAGCAATATACCCACAAAGCAGCAGAACTATTCACACAGAAGTGCCACTAAAGGCTTAACAGAATTCATATAGTATTAAAATAAACAAATGTCATACTGTTTCTAAAATTCAAATTGAGAAATACTGTTTTTTTTTTTTTTTTTTTTTTTTTTTTCCCTTGGAGGGAAAGCACAGTGAAATGCAGGAATAGAACTAGTAGTATGTGGCGGGGTGTTTCAAAACAATATGTTAAATTTAACAGTATAAAATGGAGTCTACTAACAGTGTATCAGAATGCTCCAGGCTCCTCCTTGACAGTTATATGGTACTAAATATGATGTCAAATATTTAAACTATACCTTTAGAAGAAATGCTGTTCCGTCCACTTCTGCTTTACCCAGGAGCTGGCAAGTCAGGTCATAATACTGCATGGGTTGAACATCACACAGCTGCACTCCAGTTGAAGAAGCTGAAATGTGTGTGGATGCCCAAACCCGCAAGGCTTCTACCATTTTTTTGTCCTGAGAAGTGAAGCTATACAGTTTGCTTGAAGAGCGTGCAGTGACAGGAGTCCCTAAAGTTCCTTCAAATGTCAGAGATGCAAAACCAGAGCTGTTGATTCCCTGAAGCTCATTTTTATAGACTTGGATCTAAGAAAGTGAGACAAGGTAGGGAACAAACAAAACAGCTTACTGTGGTGGTTTGAATAAGAATGGCACCATAGCCTCAGAAGTTTGAATGCTTAGTCACCAGGGAGGAGAACTCTGATGGGTTGAGAAGAACTAGGAGGTGTGGCCTGTTGGAGGGAGTGTGTCACTGGTGGTGGGCTCTGAAGTTTCAAAAGTCCATGCCAGACCCAGTGACTCTCTCTCTCTCTCTGCCTGTGGACCAGGGTTCACAGCTGTCAGCTACTTCTCCAGCACCATGGCTGCTATGCCTGCAGTCAAGCTTCATACCATCAGGAAAATGGACTGAACCTCTGAAACTATAAGCAAGACCCTAGCCAAATGCTTTTTCTTATAAAAGTTGCCTTGGTCAATGTGTCTCCTCACAACAATAGAACTGCGACTAAGACACTTAGGGATTAAAAAAAAACCTCTGGAACCAATGATTGGAAATGACAAATCTTTCCAGTATAAATAATAGTAATTCTTACTATATTTACTGAAGTAGCTTACAAACAATACAATCAACTCAACTGATGCTACATCAAGCAAGATACATAAACTATGCAAATTTTAAAACACTAAAATGTTTGGCTTTTTCAGACAGGAGTTCTCCGAGTAGCTCTGTAGACCAGGCTGGCCTTGAACTCACAGAGATCTGCCTGCCTCTGCCTCCTGAGTGCTGGGATTGAAGGTGTGCACCACCACAGCCTGACTGAAATTTATACCTTTTAAAAAAGTAATATTAACCAAATTCCATCAAACTTGCATTTTTACATTTATGAGTTTTTATTATGCATTATTTTCACAAGGGTACTATGTGGTTTAGTCAAACCCTGAATGCATTAATGTGTAAAATAATGAATACATGGGAGGTGAAGGCATCGTTATGACTGAGTGTGCTGAACCATGCTGTCAGGAATTTTACTGTGTAAGTCTAGAGGCTTTTATAAATGTACAGCTACCAAATATGTAGTCCTAATATTTTCTTCATGAACTGATTTGTTCCCATTTGAAATCTCTAGTAATACTTTATGCCTGGAAATAAAATAATTATTTCATTTTCTGATTGCCTTATAAAATTGTTTTCTTATACTTTTCCAATTTGCTTTTGTCTTCACATTTAAAGTGCATTTTGTTCATAGCACATATCTGATTCTTGATTTTCTTTTTAGATTATATTTTTCTGGTAGTAAGAGTATAGATTCAATCTCTGCATAAACATTATATGTTCTTCCACCTCGCTCTTCCAAGTTCCCTAGCCCTGAGGGGAGGGATGTGATGGACACATCCCATTTAAGACTGAATGTTCCAAGGTTTCTCACTCTGTGCACACTGTCCAGCTGTGGGTCTCTGCATTTGTTTCCATCTACTGCAAGAGAAAGCTTCCCTGAAGATGGCTGAGAAAGAAACTCTGATGATGGCTGAGAAAAATCTGTAAGTATAGCAGAACACTAGTATTTGGCTTTCTCTTAGGTCCCTGGGCAATCTAGTCTCAGGATTTTGGCTACCCAAGCAGTGCCAGGGATGGAATCCATCTCATGAAATGGGGCTTGAATTATCAAGTATTGGTTGAGTTCTGTTAGCTGAATTGAGTTTGTCTTCCCCTCTTCAGCTTACCGCTTACCAGGACTTCACAACTCAGCACTCTATAAGGACTCTGAAGCCAGTCAGAGTACCAGAGTAGGAACCCAGTCTTAAACAGAATTAAATGAATTAAAAAGACGTTACAAGGATGTATCCTATCCCTTCCAAATGCTACATAGAAACTTGACAACATTAACCATATTCAGAAGAGACAGAATAAACTGGAACTAGTTTAGAATCACTGTTTTCAATGAGCATCTAGGGAAAGAGGACAACAAATTTATTTAAATGAAGAAATATCTAGCTACTAATTGAAGTTGGATACTAGGATACTATTTACATTTCTTAGCCCTGGAGATGCTCAATGTCACTTTTTAACAAGGCAGCCCTATAATTAGTATTAACTATGATTAGTGAACAATACAGATTTCTTATCTAATAAATAAGGGTTGTAGAAAATATGAATTATACCTTCAGCCTGTGAAAGCGAACAATGTCTCCAACTTTATAAATGATTGGAAGGGCTTCATAGTTTCCACTAAAGAGCATGCACGTTAACTTCACATTTGTCTGGTCCACAATTGTTACTACTGAGCAATAATCTGAGAAACAAAAAATATTTAACAAAACTTATTTTAAATTAACTTATTTTAAAGCATTTGATTAAGAATATGCTTATTTAAATATACCAAAAAACTTACTATTCTATATTATTAAGTTTTCTACAAAAAAAAAAAAAAAAAAAATCAGTACCACTGCCAAATTAATCTAAAGAAATGTTCCATGAAAACTAACTTGAAGACATACAGAGAAACAAAATAAAAGATTCTACATTATTTTTGTGGAGAAGAAATAATTTTTGTGTTAAAATTTGAAACTTGTGAAAGAAATGAATATACAAAACCAAAGTAAGATTTGTAAAACAAATATAATTACATTGATAGTGAAGGCTGTGGAAATAACAATGTTTATCTAATATGAGCAAGGCTCTAGGTTTGAGAGAGAGAGCAAGAGATCAAGAATATGAAGTCAGATCTGTACTGTACAGTTGCACGATCAGACAGTTTACAAACCCAGCCTGCCCGGTTATATACCTCAAGACCCAGCAATTCCACTCTTAGGCATATACCCAAAGAATACATTCATACCACAAGGGCATCTGCTCAACTATGTTCACAGCAGCATTATTTGTAATAGACAGAACCTGAAAGCAACCTCGATGCTTCTGAAGAATGGATAAAATATGGTGCAGTTACACAATAGAGTACTATTCAGTGGTAAAAAACAATTACATCTTGAAATTTGCAGGCAAATGGATGGAACTACAAGAAACCATCCTGAGTGAGGTAACCCAGACACAGAAAGGCAAACATGGTATGTACTCACTCATAATTGGACATTAGACATGGAGCAAATGATCGCCAGCCTACAATCCACAGCCCCAGAGAAGCTAGGAAACCAGGATGATCCTAAGAGAAACATGCATTGATCCCTGAGAAGGGGAAAGGGACAAGGTCTCCTGAGTAAATTGGGAGCATAGGGGAGGACAGAGAAGTAGGAGAGAAAGGAAGAGAGAAGGGGATGTGGATGAAAACATGTGGATCAAGAAGTTAAAGTTGGGGGAAGAATAGGGAAGAAGAGCAAGGAAAGATACCTTGATAGAAGGAGCCATTATGGGGTTTACAAGAAAACTAGGGAAATGCCCAGAGGTCTACAAAGATGAGCCCTCCTAACAATCTAAGCAACAGTGGAGAGGCTAGCTTAAATGTCCTTCCCCTATAATGAGATTGCTGACTACCTTATAGCCTTCAGAGCTGGTAGGAGCAAAACCAGACACCCACAGCTAAGCACTGTGTCAAACTCCAGGAATCCAGATGTAAAGAGGGAGGAGTGATTAGTAAAGGTTCAAGACCATGCTGGGGAAACCCATGGAAACAACTGACCCGAGCAAGTGGGAGCTTAGGGACTCTATATAAACTGCATAGGACCTAACTAGACCCTCTGAATGTGGGTGTCAGTTGGGGGGGGGCTTGGGCAGTCTATGGGGCCTCTGACAGTGGAATCAGTATTTGTCCCTAGTGCATGAATTGGCTTTTTGGAGCCCATACCCTGTGAAGGGATGTTCTATCAGCCAAGATAGGGGCACGGAGGGGAAGGTTAGGCCCTCCCCCAAGTGATATGACAGACTGTGATGATCTCATGGGAGGTCTCACTCTCTGAGGAGTGGATAATTGCATAGCTTTGTTTCACAGTGTTCAGTCACCTTTCTAAAAATAGTATTTAAGTGCCCATACTAATGCCTTCTCTCATCATTTAATAAGAACACTAAATAAGGACTGCATGATGCCTCATCCCCAAAGTCTCAATGCCACTCATGGTAGCTTATTTTCGTGGGAATCAGGGTCCAGTGCTCACTGCAGGGCTACTTTACATCAGTAGTTGCTACCATGCTGCATTTATACTCTCTGCAAGCACAGGCAATGACTCATTACAACGAAAGACAAAACTAATGATGTGTGTGACATTTCCCTAAATAAATGGGAGCTGACATTTGAGTTTGGCACACATGGACAGAACCCTGAAAAAGGAGTTAAATTAAGCACTCATGGTTTTAAAGAAGTGATAAAAAACAAAACAAAACAAAAAAAAAAAAAAACAATTTTGCTTGTTTACAAATTTGAGACCAGTTGAAGTCTGAAAAATCAGACAGCACAAAAGGCCCTATGTTAGATTTTGACCACTGATTCTAATTTGTTCAGAGACAAACTAATTATCAGGGCAAACCAGATGTTGGATGCTGGTCAATGGATTTAGAGAACTAAATAAAAACTAGTAAAATATAAAATACACAATTGACAATATTTTAAAATACAGAATATTTGCTACTTCTCAGATACAAAAACACATCTTTTATATTAAGTGATGCATCTTATAACCTGGGCTCCACCTGAACAAAAGACTATATTACTTAATGGTTAACATTATTAAGGCTTCATTATATACAAGGAAGCAGACTATGCAACATATAGATACATATATAATCACAGAAGCTCTTGAATTCTTCTATAACTGTAGGCAGCCAGAGTATTGCTTCTAAACAAGGAAACCCAAATTCCTAAGCAAGCTAGGTAATGTGTCCAAGCCATCGCATCTTGTAGGTAACTGATGAAGCTGAGAGGCATACTTAGCCTCTCTAGCTTATATCTCTATGGAGCATGTTTTTAGAAATGTAATAATCCTAAGGAAAGAAAAGCTTAAAACAGTGAGGGAGGCTTCAAAGCTTTTTTAGCTAAATAAATTATGCTCCAACTCAATGGTGTTGTAGTATTACAGGAAAGAGGAAATATAGTAAATTCACTGCCAAAGAATGTGAAGTTTTGCCTATAAATATAGAATCAAGAAAATCATTACAGACTCTATTCATTCTTATGAACTGTTACTACACACTGTAATAGCTATGATTCATAAGCTAATATATCAAAAAAGAGAGTCAACAAAGGGGTGTCTCATGAGGCATCTGAGAAAAGTGAAATTCTACAGGAAATATTAAGAAGATGTAGGTTACTGAGTACCAGGTTACCTATCCAGGACTTGATAGATGTGATGAGTGGTAAGAGGAGTAGTAAGAAGGTGTTGGCTTGATGATGCACAGGAAAGACATGGCCTACTGCTTGCTAAAACCCTGCTACACAGAAGAACAGGAACACCAATCAATTCCTAGATGTGAGAGTTAAGGGTGACAGAGCATTCATTATAAAGTATTACAGATAAGAGAATGGTAGAGGAGTTTCTAATTTGACTACCACAGTTGTGTGAAGATGCCTGATGTGTTACTAAAATAAGCTACACACACACATACATGACATATTATGGTCTAACATAATGCAGTGAATATATTTCAGGGTGGTGACTACATACAGAATACCTCTGAAGAACACCAGAGTTTAGGAAGCAGATCCATTTTAGTGAGAAAACAGAGACTGTCTATTAGAATTAACATTAAGTCTTCTCAGTTTATAGAATTTATAAAACTAATTAACGTTCTTACCTACAATAATTCTAAAATGGCAATTCTAAAATGTCTCCCTCCCTGAAACCTGGGAAAGACACTGAAAATCACATACTGTTGTTGCACCTCAATTTTCCTATAATAATCCCAGCACTTGGGGTGGGAGGAGGCAGAGGCAGGTGGATCACTGTGAGTTCAAGGCCAGCCTGTTCTACAGAATGAGTTCCAGGATAGGCTCCAAACCTACATACAGAAACCCTGCCTCGAAAAACAAACAAACAAACAAATAAACACCAACCTTCTAAGAGCAGTGCATGATGGGTGCATGAACACAACTTTAATCTTAGCACTGGGGAGGCAGGAGTAGGAGGATCTCTGTGAGTTCAGGGTCAGCATGATCTACATACTGAGTTCTAGGACAGCTAGAGAGAGTTACATAGTGAGACTCTGCCTTAAAGAAAAACAAATAAATAGATAAAAAGGTATTCAAAGGATTGTTGTGACAAATAAAAAGTACTACATGTACCTGACATGCTTTAGTGCTACATGAGCAGTGATAGAGAGGTGGCTCAGAGGAAAGAGAGCACACTGTTCTTCCAGAGTACCACAGTTCAATTCCTGGCACCCAAGTCATATGCTCATAGTGGCCTATAACTCCAGATCTGACACCTGTGTGTGGTCTTTGGAGACAAATGCACCACATGAACATATCCACACAGATATGTGATTAAAAAGTAATAATAATAATAATATGTCTAAGGCAGAGGCAGGCAGATCTCTGTGAGTTCGAGGCCAGCCTGGTCTATAGAACAAGTTCCAGAACAGCCTCCAAAGCTACACAGAGAAACCCTGTCTCAAAAAAAAAAAGCCAACAACAACAACAACAAACAAACAAACAAAAAAACTAAAAGGGGGCTAAAGAAATGACTCACTGCTTTAGGTTCAGATCCTAGCATCCACAAATAAAGGCTAGTAACCATCTATAACTCTAACTCCACAGGATCTGACACCTTTTTCTGGCCTCACTGGCCACCAGTCAGACAACTGATGCATAGATATATATGCAGACAAAACATGTATTCAAATAAAATAAAAATTAGTGATTAAAAAAGTGCTAGCAAAACAGCAACAGGACTTCTACTACCGCTCCTCATGACACACTGTTCTTGAAAGGTTAAGATCTTAAAATCCGTCTGTGCTAGATAGCTGCACATCGACTTGACAGAAACTAAAGTCATATGAGAGGAGGGAACCTATAGAAAGAAAATGCCTCCACCAAAACTGGCTCTGAGGACCTGAGAGCAGAACTGGCCCTGTTCCTTCCCTCAGGCTGGATTGGGTGAGCTAGCCAAAGGAGTGGTAGAGAGCTGGACCAGGTAGTGACAGGGAAAGCTGGTGTCCTGACTGCCTTTGATTATGTGGAACTGTAAGCTAAATAAACCCTTTCCTCCCCGGGTTACTTGGTCGTGGTGCTTTGTCCTAACAACAGAAACCCAAACTAAGACATTATCTTAGGAAGATCTACTATCTAAAAATAATCTGCCAAGACACAGTGCCAAGTTTATCAGACTTGGCATACAACTCTGAAAGCAC